CTCTCTCTCTCTCTCGCGCTCTCTCTCTCTCTCTCTCTCTCTCTCTCTCTCTCTCTCTTTCTCTCTCACACACACACACACCTCTAGCTCTCTCTCTCGCACAAATTACGTTCAATTTTGCTTTGGGTTTATTGTTAGCATAGAAACATTTTGCTCAAATATTTCTCATCATACATCGTATTCTTATGACAGACGCCTTTATACTTAATTAATTTCTCTAAGGGTTGGCTGACTAGATGACCGTATGGTCTTTTCGCCATCCCTTTACGGCACGCTATTTATATTTTGTTAAAAAATCCTTGTATCTGCTCATATTGGAAGTAATAAAATAAACTTATCTTATCTTATCTTATCCTGATCTTATCTTATCTCGCTCTCTCTCTCACACACACACACACACACACACACACACACACACACACACACACACACACACACACACACACACACACACACACACACACACAACACACAAACACACACACACAAACAACAACACACACACACACACACACACGCACGCACACACACACACAAACACACACGCACGCACACACATAACTGATGTACGTATCGAACAGTTGTTCTATATGACAATACTCCAAGCCCGTAGCCAATGTGTTAAACGCCACAAAAACGCATGCAGACCATCCTGGTTTGCAAGCCCGCTCCCACGTTGCCATGGATACCGACCTGAAGCTGCCGGACGGAGATCCTGAGGTCCGAGTCGTTGAAGCCGTAGGGAATGTTCCAGCCGAGCGGACCAAACTTCCTTCTCTCCTGCACGAGGGCGTGGAAGAAACACAGCCCGAAGAGCAGCTTCTCAAACGACTGCAAAAACATGCACAAAAGAAAAATAGTTGGTAATGTTAGTAAATGTAGATGGCAGACGAACGCGTGTAGATGTGTAGCCGGTGTGAATACTCGTAGTCGAATCGAGGAATTGTATTGCTTGTTGAAATGGCCGAAATATATGTGTGAGCGAAACATCGCGTTTACTATCAGATTTAAATTACGAAATATGCTTAGATTTACATCATTACGAAATGTGGTCAACCAACACTGCCCACATATCATCGTAACATGAAGAAATTCCAAAAAAAATCCACTTTTTCATAATTTAAACTGTCCTGACTAAGTTGAGACGACAGGCATGGCTGTCGCAGAGATGGACTCACACTACATGAGCGCTGTCTCATTATAACATTAAGAAATTCCAAGAAAGCCTTTTTCATATTATTTTAAACCGTCGACTAATAAGCTCGAACACTGCATGAGCGCGAGGGCACCTGCTGTCTCATCGTAACATGAAGAAATTCCGAAAAAAACTTTTTTCATGTTTTAATCTATCGACTAAGCTAGGGCGACAGACATGGCTGTGGCAGACATGGACGCTGCATGAGCGCAGGGGGCACCTGTTGCTTCCCGCCGCAGCTGCAGAAGAAGTCTGGATCTGAGATCGGGTCGTTCATGTAGGACTGCAGCAGGTTTGCTCTGAGACCCGTCGGTGGTTCGTTGGTCATCTTCACGCCGTTCTGTAGCACTGCCACCGGGAACTAACAGAACACAGCGGATCACACACACGCACACGCGCGCGTACGTCACGGACACAAGTGTGGTCACTGATAGCCTAGCACACACGTGCTCCACACAGAGGGGATGGTGAGAGAACATCAACTACTGTGTCTACATCTACAACAATGTCTGTGAAACAACTGTTGCCTGCGGGTGAGCGCATCACTGATCACCATAACGCAACTATCTTCTGTATTATCAGGCAGCTTTAGTACGAAAGGTAATAACTCCTTAATTCCTCCAATTGAATTTATGACTTTTTACACACGATTAACGGAAAAGCAATCGCTTGCCTTTCGGTATTTCACAACAGTGATTAGTTTAAAAAAGGGAGAGCCATGGAGCGATATCAACGACATGTTTCTATGCTCTCTACTGTTGTAATTATATTACGTATCAACGTATAACGTGTAGCTATAGCTGACGCACACACTGCACAACATGCCTTATTATATTAGAAAATTCGTACATAAGTGCGCACGTAACGCACCTTATTCGACGGGTAACTCGTGAGCCACATGCGAAACTCGGGGTTGACCTTCTCTGGGCTCAGCTCCTCGCAGATCTTCTCCAGCGCGGGCATCCACGACACCGCCAGGTGGCAGTTCTGCAGCACGACCCACGTGCCGTCTCGCACCGCGCTCGTGATGAGAGCGGCGGCCACCGGACCCTGGATGAAGCCAAGCACAGACACACATCTCATGAGACCGACCCACCGTACACCTACGTATCGACCTCTCACTCTCTCTCTGTCTCACCAAGCTCTTCGAGAGAGATTCTCAGAGAGACCCTTCTAATGGATGCCGTATCTTCGTGGTGATCGATAATGGTGCGATGAAGTGAAATACCAGTCTATCATCAAGCTGTGGTATATGTACCTGTTCATATGATATAATCAGCATTGATTTCACCTGTAACATCGAGTGGTCGACATATAACAACGATCTAGGATTTTACCTGTTTCACGCAAAGAGATGGCTCTATGATGACCAGTGATGATTTTACCTGTTTCTCATCAAGTGTCGGTCATATGATAACCAGCGATGATTTTACTTGTCTGTCATCAAGTAATGGTCATGTGATAATCAACAATGGTTTTAACTGACTCACATCAAGTGGTGTTCATATAATAACCAACAATCACCTCCAGACTGCTCGACCACCGACATCAACCAACAGTTCATCACTCTCTCCGGTTCGATGCGCTCCCGACCTCATCTCTCTCTCTCGCCGACTGAAATACCGCAAATTAACGACAACGCATCTCACCTGGCCCTGACCGAGAGATATCGCGTTGAACTTTTCGCCCGTGAAGCCCCTGTCCTCGGCGAACTTGAGCAGGCTGGCCATCGGGTCTGCGCCGGGCGACAGCACGAATATGAGCGGCGCGCAGGCGTTCGAGTCGTTGTAGCTCTTCGCGAGGTCGAACGGCGGCGGCTGCACAAACTTCTGGCCGAGGCTGCTGACCACAAAGTCGGTGACCAGCGGGACGACCTGCATCAGTGGACATTGACGTTGACGAATACGATGCAGGGAATGGCTGCGTGAACGATAGCTTGAGATGCTGCGCTACTAAGAAAATGGACGAATCTACTTTGAAAGACCGGAGCTAGCATGTCATCTAAACTTGGCCAGTGTCTCTGCACTAAACACAGTGAGTTATATTATTACCTCCGCCTAGTAGGCGGCATAGGGTTGCAGGAGGTTATTGTTTCACCGCGTTGTTTGTGGGTTTGTGGGTTTGTGGGTTTTGTGTACAGCCTAGCCTAAAAGTTTATGGACGGATTGTCATAAAAATTTTCAGGCATAGGTCAGAAATCGCCTAACTTAGAATTGATGAGATTCTTGGTGGTGATCCGGATCAATTAATTAATTAACTAATTAATTAATTAATAAAATTTTCAGGATAGGTCAGAAATGGGGGTAACTTAGAATTGATTACATTTTGGTGGCGATCCGGCGTCCAATTAATTAATTAACTAATTAATTAATTAATAAAATTTCAGGATAGCGTCAGAAATGGGGTAACTTAGAATTATTACATTTTGGTGGTGATCCGCGGCTAATTAATTAATTAAATTTTTCACTTAAAGTCAGCTGCCTTGGCGGAGGTCTGTGCTCTCCGAGTGCTCTAGTTTGTAATGTTTTTAGGTTCAGGATCAATACTCCAACACTAGCCACCCTCACACATGCTAACCATCATTCTCTATACGTAATCGCACAAATTAGGAAGATGCACTGCTATGATGACAAAAAGCCACGACATAACCATCCTGTGGGCTAATACTAGAACAAAGAAGGTGGGAGAACATAGTGGCTAAAACAATAGCGATGTTTCATGTTTATAAACATTGACGTCATATGCGGACTCATGCGCAGTTTAACGGTGGCAGCAAGCAGATTGGTGATATTGTTCGATACAAGCGCACGCACGCACGCACGCACGTGTACGTACACACGCACACACGCACGCTAGCCACGCACCACATACTCATGCACCGCACGCACGCACGCACGCACGCACCGCACGCACGTCTACGTGCACATGCATGCACGCACGCACGCATGTGTACCTGCACACACACGCACGCACACATGCACACACGTGTACCTGCACACGCACGCACGCAAGCACGCACGCCAGACGCACGAACCTGTGCCTGCACACGCGCGCACACACGCACGCCCGCACGCACGTGTAATTCACACGCACTCATGCACGCACGTGTACGTGCACACGCACGCACGCACGTGTACGTGCACACGCACGCCACGCGCGCACGCACGCCACGTCTACGTCACATGTGCACATGCACACACGCACGCACGCACACACCGCACGTGTACGTGCGACACACACGGACGTACGCACGCCACGTGTACGTGCACACGCACGCACACACCCATGCACGCACGTGTACGTGCACACGCACGCACCGCCACGCACCGCACGCATGCACGCACGTGTACGTGCACACGCACGCACGCACGCCGCGCACGCATGCACGCACGTGTACGTGTACACGCACGCACCGTGTACGTGCACACGACGCACGCACGCACGCACGTCTACGTGCACACGCACGCACACACTCATGCACGCACGTGTACGTGCCACACGCACGCACGCACGCATGCACGCACGTGTACGTGCCACACGCACGCACGCACGCACGGCACGCAGTCTTACGTGCATACGCACGCATGCACGCATGTGTACGTGCATATGCAGGTACGCACGCGCGCACGTGTTCATCCAAACGCACGCACGCCACGCACGCGCGCATGCACACACGTGTACCTGCACACGCACACACGTACGCGCCACGTATATTTTGCATGCGCACGCTCGCACGCACGTGTACGTGCACACGCACGCACTCACGTGTACCTGCAAACACACGCACGCACGTGTACGTGAACACGCACGCACGCAGGCACGCACGCGGCACGCACGTTTACCGTCACACGCACGCACGCCACGCACGCACGCCCATGTACGCACGTGTAAGTGGACACGCACGCACGAACGCACGTGTACGTACACACGCACGCACGCACGCGCGCACGTGTATGGCAGGCGAGGTGGGACATAAATGGTATTTAGTGACAGTCATATATTCGAATTAATGTCTATCATATATTCTATTTAGTGATAGTCATTAAATCAGCCAATCATAGGCATGGAATTATTGTCAAACACTAAATGATTTAATGATAGACACTAAATGATTTAGTGTCTGTCACTAAATCATTTAGTGTCTGTCATTAAATCCCCGTTGCTACAATCAGAGCCAACGTTACAAAGATCCGCTAGGCGGCGCCAGCTACTTCCGTACAAAAATCTCTACCACCGCGGCGGCGCCATGTTTATGTGTTCAACCTATGTTGGCGCCATGTTTATGTATCAAACCTACGCGCCATTTTGGCATGTAGGATGTAGGCCTAGACTGGTTCTTCTACCATGTCACATGCAATGCAATGAATGCATGGACAGCAGACAGGCAGGAGCGGAGAGCGTCTATACCTGCTATTTTTGTACGGAAGTAGCTGGCGCCGCTAGCCGATCTTTGTAACGTTGGCTCTGATTGGTAGCAACGGGGATTTAATGACAAACACTAAATGATTTAGTGACAGACACTAAATCATTTAGTGTCTATCATTAAATCATTTAGTGTTTGACAATAATTCCATGCCTATGATTGGCTGAGAAAAAATAGTTGTATCTGATTGGTTGATTTAATGACTATCACTAAATAGAATATATTGATAGACATTAATTCGAATATATGACTGTCACTAAATACCATTTATGTCCCACCTCGCCTGCCATACACGTGTACGTGCACTCGCACGCACGCAGCACGCACGTGTACGTGCACTCATAACAGCGCTTTCTATCAGAACATGTGGTCATTCATCTTGTAAATGTCAAGCAGCACGCTTCGCTTCTGCCAACTACAACACATAACAAATACACGTGACCTGATCTATGACGTCACGTGAAACCTCAGTAACCGAAGTGTGACGTCACGTTGCAGGACAACGTATGGGCTGGTTCTACACAAGCCACTGGCTCCATAACATTAACTGCGTGAAAATGTTGTGCGTACGTAAAACACGAGTGTGTGCGCTGCAGACAGCGGTAAAGCATCGGTAGCAAGTCGATCTTACAATATTTAATGAATTAAAAAAAAATTTAAATTTTTATACTGATATAGAGCGTTGTTAATTTTTATTTATTTTTTCGTTGCTTTTCACTTCCATCCTTTGGAAATCTATAAAAACTGCAATAATGACTCTCAGAATGATGGTTACAATCGGGTACAAACACGGACACGCAGTTAATGTTACCAGAGCATATGATTGTGTAGAACCAGTGGCAGTGGGTTCGTTGTCATGCCACCGTGACGTCATCACTTCGGTAGCACGGGTGCTAACAATAGGGTACCGAAGTGAGTGCGTCACGTTGGCAGACACGCACGGGCTGGTTCTACACAAGCCACTGGCTCCATAGTGTAGCCATAGTGTGAAAATGTTGTGCGTACGTAAAACACGAGTGTGTGCGCTGCAGACAGCGGTAAAGCATCGGTAGCAAGTCGATCTTACAATATTTAATGAATTAAAAAAAAAATGAAAAAAAAAATATATTATTATATTTTATTTAATTTTTTTTGGTTAAATAAATTTTTTTCCCCGTTGCTTTTCACTTCCATCCTTTGGAAATCTATAAAAACTGCATAATGACTCTCAGAATGATGGTTACAATCGGGTACAAAACACGACACGCAGTTAATGTTACCAGAGCATATGATTGTGTAACGTTAATGATTACCGCTCCTGCTCGTAACGGCCGCTAGGGCCTACTCACTAGAGCGTTAACCTCTTACTATTTGAAAGTGGGTGGCTGCTGACTGAGCCAGAGCGGCCCAATCAGCGAGCAGTCCTTTGCTTGACGTCATTTCCGTCAACATTTCAACTGCAATAACTATATTTATAATAGTTTATAATAGTTTATATTAGGTTTATAATAGTTATAATAATATAATTTATAACTGTAAAAAATGCATGCTTCTGATAAAGCCATTAACTAGATTACCACCAAAATAAATATGTGCCTGGTGCGGATTTGCAGCCTGCTTTAGACTGGTACCCGGTCGACAGTTTCACACGCTACACCAAGGCCTATGTGTGAAGGTGGCGAACGGGTACTAGTCTAGGCCTGCTTAGCCTCGTTCTGCGTTTATTCGATAACGAGGTTTGCGAACTGTTTAGGCTGCCTTCGCTTACAGGCGTCAGTGTAGCGAACGCAGTCAAGCGTAACATGACGACTGGTATTATACAGGTTAATGATTGTGTAGAACCAGCAGCTCGTTTGTCATGCCACCGTGACTCATCACTTCGGTACTCTATAGAGTACCGAAGTGATGACGTCACGGTGCATGACAACGAGCCTGCTGGTTCTACACAATCATATGCTCTGGTAACATTAACTGTGTGTCGTGTTTTGTACCCGATTGTAACCATCATTCTGAGAGTCATTATTGCAGTTTTTATAGATTTCCAAAGGATGGAAGTGAAAAGCAACGGGAAAAAAAATTAATTGAACCAAAAAAAAATTTAACAAAAAAAAAATTTTTTTTCTTAATTTTTTTTTAAAATTCATTAAATATTGTAAGAACGACTTGCTACCGATGCTTTACCGCTGTCTGCAGCGCACACACTCGTGTTTTACGTACGCACAACAGTTGACCCTATGGCTACACCATGGAGCCAGGTGGCTTGTGTAGAACCAGCCCGTACGTTGTCTTGCCAACGTGACGTCACACTTCGGTACTCTATAGCAACGCGGTACTCGCAGCTCTATCACCTTCTTCGTACCTCTACCGCCGTTGACTCGCAGCTAGGGCCTGCATACCTCCCAACTCTCATTGGTTGATACAAATATAGTTAATTTTTAAAATTAAATTCTAAGTAGTGTTAGGGTTAGGATTAGGGTTAGGGTTAGGATTAGGGTTAGGGTTAGGGTTAGGGTCACAATGCACCATAAAAGGAATTATTAAAACAGGAGTTTCAGGCACGTGATTTGTATCAACCAATGAGAGTTGGGAGGTATGCAGGCACTAGGCCCTAGCTGCGAGTCAACGCGGTAGAGGTACGAAGAGGGTGATAGAGCTAAGAAAATAGGTAACGAAGTTATGAAGATGGGTAATGAAGTTATGAAGATGCGTGATGAAGCTACGAAGATGGGTAATAAAGCTACGAAGATGCGTGATGAAGCTACGAAGATGCGTGATGAAGCTATGGAGATGCGTAATGACGCTATGGAGATGCTTAATGAAGCTATGGAGAGCTTAATGAAGCTATGGAGATGGATAATGAAGCTATGGAGATGCTTAATGAAGCCATGGAGATGGATAATAAAGCTATGGAGATGGATAATAAAGCTATGGAGATGGATAATAAATTTACGAAGATGCGTAATGAAGTTACGAAGATGCGTAATGAAGCGCTATAATGATGGATAACAGATATATAAAGATGAGGACGCATTAATGTGAGAAGCACAGACCTTGTCGGAACGGAGACAGCGGATGACGATCATTCTTTGGAACTCGGTGAGTTTCTTCTCCACGGCGGCAGCAGCGGTGCCTTCTGCGGCTCACTTGCTGTCGTACAGCTGACGCCAGTCATCGACGTGCTGCTCAAAGTGTGCCCTGTAACAAGCACCATCTATACATGCATGTCCACAGCACAGCGAGTGTTGGAGAGAACAGCCACCGGATTTGACTGGTCACTGTTCATTTAATTATATTGGTAATATTAAAAATATGTTAAATTATTCGGATATTGTTTTTTTTTATTGTTTTTTTTATTTATTTATTTATTTCTTTAGGCAATTATCTATCATATACAATACATTGCATACTTTTACAATAAATTCTGAATTCATAAAATTGGATAACTACCAAGGATATATAACACAAAAAGCATGACTAGCACACTTATTTCCATTGTGGTCCTTGTTTTGCTATGCATTGAATCTAACCATTACACTACTAATACTATCAGCACTAACTATTAAAATATACAGTAGTTTATATATGTAGTTTTAACCGGTCATACAATGGTACATTCTCATAAGACGATACAAAATTTTTTTTATGCCTAATTTCAACCGAATTCTTTTAGCGAAAATCATACTCCTCTGCCTCTACTGTTTCTACCTTTTCCATCAGACATTTCTTAACCCTATACTTAAAACTAGAATAAACAGAATTTGACCTAACTTGTGGTAGAGAGTTCCAAGCTTCAATTGCAGTATAAGTAAATGAGTTTGTCCCACTGCTTCCCACCCTCGGTTTAAAAATAGACATCCACCTTCCCTTGTATTGAAACTTTCCCTTGGACTTCTGACGTTAACATGAAACCTTCTGTCATATACTGTGGGCCGAGATTATGTAATATTTTAAAAACCCTATTGACTTTCAGTTGCATTACCCTGAACTCTACAGGTACCAATTTACAGCTTGAACTCTCTAGCACCTATGTGTGCTCTAGTACCTAGCCTCTAATGGCTTTATTTTGACACACTTAATTGCAGCCTAGCACTTGTGCGCTTTGTGAGACTGCTGTACCATATACTGCTTGCATAGTCAAAATGACATTGAATTAGGGCAGAAACTATAGTAACTTTTACATGCCGTGTTTAAATACTTCGCTTTTCTGAAAGAAATTTCAATCTATTGTTAACCTTTTTTACAACCTTAATTCCCGTTACCTCACCACTCATGGAGTCTTCCAAGTCTATTTCTAGATACTTAACTGTATTTTTATGTGCAATTGCCACCCCATTACATCTGATGTCAGTTTTGGATTATCCCTGAGTTTGTGTTTAGTTCCAAAAATAATACTTTCTGTTTTTCCAAGATGCAAGGATAAATTGTTATCATTGAGCCATTTATTAATTGAATGCAATTCTCTACTTAATTCTTCCTGTATGACTAATGATATATCTATTAAGACATGTTACATGCGTTCAACTTTGATAGAGTGATGAACAGTTGATCAAATTTGTTTGCAATGCGATTTGATTTGTTAACAGTGCACTTTTAGAATGGTTTCATCAGGCTGCAATTGTGAGCAACTTACTAGCTAGTCTCTTGGTTTACTATAGCGTTACTAATTATCTACTACCTTTTTTTATGTAAATGACTCGCCCGCCGCCGGCAACACCATCGCGACCGGCCACCCCCGCAAGCCCGGCTTACACCCGGCCGCGTGCCAAGGTATCATTGTCAAAATGACACAGTTGCCCTCCCTTTCTTTTAGACTTCATAGTAAGCACTCATAACTTATAACCATTGATCACAAGATATCTTCGTATACATACCGCATCTGCCATTACAATTCTCATAGAAATTACATCGATTTTCTTATTCGAAAATGCGACGATTTGGAATCCATTTTCAGAAACATCACAAGTATAGTTATTACACCATAGGTCGTTAATTCATCATAAATACAAAATGTCATAACTTTTAAAGTCTCCTGCAAAAGTAATCACATTTTAGACCTGTGATAGTCATAGCTATTTACGATCAAGGAGGTAAATATGACCTGTTATATTTATAGCTCCTTGTTTACGTTGACTCTGACAACGGGTCCCCCCCCCCTCGCACCTGAAGTTCTGGAACGGCTCCAGCTCACACATGCGGCATATCTCGTCCCAGCTGCGGTCGGACAGCCAGCTGGGATCGGGGTTCTTCAGCTTGTTCTCCAGTCCGAGGCCGCCGGTCAGGAAGAACGTGAACTCTGCGTAGTCCAGTTCACCCCTCGCACTGCATGGCAGTAAAGGCAGCACTAGGATCTCACGCAAGATCAGTGTAACAGATGCACTAGCATCGCAAGCAAGACCGGTGTAACTACACAGTTTGCATGAGGAGGTCGTGTTTAGAATTCACGAGAGTTTGTGACTCACCAAAGACAAACATGATGATCGAGTGTCACCGAAAACAAAATCTCACCAGTGTGACAAAACAGGCCTTGATACAGTTAAATTGACTACGTCACGAATTTTCTATGGTAAAATGTGTAAAATTTTTGTTGCCATTTTTTTACATTAAAAGTAAGAACTAACGTATCGTCAAATTTGTACCTGATAAGATTGTTTCTCAACTAGTTAAAAATCCAAAAAACCTAGACAATTTAATATTATGTTCCTGACATTAATTGCTTGCTATGGGCTACGTATGAGTCACGAGTGTATGTTCACATCGAACAATATAATCAAATAGGAAGTATAATGCAGCAATTTAACCATAAAAAGTGAACAGAATTACTTATATTTTGTGAAAAAGCGACAGGAAGTATAATGCAGCAATTTAACCATAAAAAGTGAACAGAATTACTTATATTTTGTGGAAAAGTGGAAATATTTTTTTCATTTCTACTATTTACGGTGACGTAATCGCTTTAATATTAATATATTCTTACTAACTGCAGAGAATATAAAGCTAGCACAGTACGAAGCACACACACCAACACCACAGGTGGAAATCAATCGCGAAACTCTTTGCGATTTCTCAACCAGTGACGTGCACGTGGGCGTGGTGTAAAACTCACAGCTGTATGTTGGTGCAGAGCAGGAGAGAGAAGAGCAGCTTGTCCTTCTCGAACAGGGAGCGACACACGTTGCTGTACAGGTTGTAGGTGAAATGGTCCTGCAGGTAGAGCAGGCGCCGGTCCAGAATCTTCGACTTGTTGCTGCAAAGAGACGACACGACCACCCGTGTGGCTCCATCTAGTGGTCTCTCACTGACAGCACAGTACCTTGTTATAATCTGTGCTACAGTAGTGACAACGGCCACTGCGTGTTATCACATAGATGTGAATATAACTCATAACATATATATAAAAAAATAATAATCATATAAAAAATATTACATGTACATAGTACATAGTACGTAGTATATAACTCATAACATATATATAAAAAAATAATAATAATGTACGATCTACTGCCTACCCACCGTCTAACACCATTACCATGGTTGCAGACGCTGCTATACTCATCACCTCCCCATCAGGTAACAAATCACACACCCACAAGGCATTTATAATCAGTTACAGATAACTACAGGTAAATTCGTATTAGGATATATTATATATATCCCAAATAACATGCTGACGT